TGCTTGATCAACTTATTAAACCTTTTTCTACATTTCTTTCTCCATATCTGGAAACCAACATTTAAGGCAAATATCCATCTTATGAGGGTAGTGTGAGAAATATTTCCAAACCACACCATTTCATGCCAAATGAGGGTGGTGTGCAAACCCCATCGCAAAAATAGTGCATATTATTGTTAAAATAATCCTGTTTTCTCCGATCTGATACAGTCAAGGCCTTTTAGACAACTGTTAGTTAAGCTGAGAATTCTAGAAGTTGAAGTCCAGCATACCTGGAAGACAAGCCCTCAGGGAAAGCTGAAGTTTTCTTGCTCCTACTGAAATTTTGCATGTATTTGAGGCTCATTAACTGGTGGTAATTCAGGTTGTAATGGGGTCTAGGTAAATAGTAAGATACATCCTCCAAGACTGCATTCTGTATATCTTCCATCCCATCAGTAAATGGTGTGGTTCTGTGGCTCTTGGATTGGATTCACTTCCCCATGTCCACTAGTTCTTAAAATTGTCTTCCAATTTTGTGGGTTGCAGAATCTGACTATATAGCATATAGCTGAGAACTCCTGAGATCAAATTTGAATAGTTCCACTCTTGTTTAGACAAACTGACTCAAAGGCAGATTATTAGAAAACTCAATCCCCTGAGGGTCTTTTATTTGGACCTATACAAGAGTCATCACTCCATATGAAGCTGTGAAGAACCTCTGGAGTGGGATGCCCTCTATCTGCCAATGACACATAGCAAATCTGTTTTGGTAACTAGCTGCTGGAAGCCACTGCTTTATGGCTACAGCAAGTATTGAGAAGCTAAAGCTGAGCTAAAACATGTTAGAATTGAATCCGTGCAAGATGAAAGTGATGGCAACAGCACGTGGATAGATGCTCAGACTAGGCCTAATTTCTTGCAAAGGATGGGATAGCTATCGCAAAGACTAATCTACACATTTTTATGAATGAAAATAGCGAAATTTTATTCCACACCTGTATTCTATTATTTTTTTCCCTTAAATGCTTATTACTCCACCTATGCAAAGCCCGTTTATCAGCTTCTTAAAAAAGGATTGTCCTTCTAAAAGCGCTGTAGTTAAAATTTTCCTGCTAGAATGCATTCCAAGGACAGGGTAGAAATGAATCAAACCTGAACCTTATTAATTGCTTTGACATGACAGCAAGAAGCAATACTTGCCTTTCATTCTAAAGAGCCTGAACAATGGTGTAGGGAAAAAACAACAGTTGGAAGTGACAGTAGGAACTACTACACTCTTCAAAACTGTATAGAGTTAGGTTGGATTCTAAATCAAACGTGCGAAGCATCAGCCTAAACTATAAATAGATGTCCTAACTCTAAATAAATCGTCGCATTCTATAGAAATACTGGACTATTTGAGCAATGCAGTTCCAGTTATGCTTACTCAGAAGCAAGCCCGGTGGGGCAAAGGCTGATTCCTAAGCGGCAGCTTAGAGCCAGCTAACCGGTCTGAGGCCTCAGTATGGCTGGCTACGCCGGCCGAGAGCGGGAAGAGCGGTCTTACTGGCCAATATAAATGGAGAGCACCCGATGGGGGAAGGCGGGCTGAAGGTGCCACAATTTACTGCCCAAGAATTCGGCGAAACTGCTCCGGATGAGTCAGCGGCCTCAAGGGAACTGCAGGCACGAATCGCAAGCAACATCAGGAAGGGAAAAGGGGGGGGGGAAGCGCCACCCTGGCCCTTTACCCGCCCAGCGGGTGGCTGCGCGACACGTCACCGCTTGCACTTTTCCCCGGGTTGCGCAATGCCGCCACATTCTCCCTCCCGCCAAGGGAGCAGCTAGCCTCCGCCGTTTACTATATTTGGTTCAACATGAGGTGACATTGCTTGAACAAAGGCTGGAGTCAGCATCTCTGAATCCTTTCTTGGTACGGCTCAGTTCGGGCGCCAACGGAGACCCGAAACCGATCCCTACTGGAAGGAAGCACTGAGCCTGCGCCCGCCCCGCTGGCTCTAATTATAGCGGGGGCTGTTTCCTGGCTGGGCGGGGCTTGTTCGAGCTTGAGGCAGCGGCTTCCGCAGCTTGTGGCTTTGCCCTCCGTGCCCTGCAGTGGTACGTGATGAGCTAGCATTTTTTGCAGGCAGCAATCCCTTTCGAAGCTCGGGAGGGAGGGGGAAAAAGCGAGGCTGTCTGGAAAGCTAAACAACAAAATTCCTTCGTTCGTGTGAATCCCTAAATGCACCCTTCAAATGCTCGGATCGGTCTTTTTAAAGCAAACTATTCCATATTTCTTAGGCCAAGATTTAGAGAAAACTGGAAGAATGAGTACTAGGGAACTCTAGCCTTGCTTGGGTATTTGTATTTATTTTACAACTTCCTCTTAAAAATGAGCTAGGTTTCTCAGAACTTGGACAGCAGGGGAGGGTGGGTTACAGATTCGATCTGATGTATAAACCTTTTGAAACTGGAGTTTTACAAGGGAACCTGTGCCTGGCTGTGTTGGGTCGGGCTGAACTCTCAAGCGGCCGAAAATAGGATTACAGTTTTGACTTTTATGGACATTTATTTTGACTTTTATTAAAATCTTGGCGAAAGCCTTCAGTTTCAAAACTTAACTGTAAATATAACATGTGTGGTTGATTTTGCCCTTCATGTGCAATCCAGTAGTGCCATCCAAAATTCAGATAAGACCTGTTCCTGAGGCCTACTCTTGAGGATGTGGCCTCTGTGATGTTTCAGTGTTCATTATGCTCATGAGCATGGTTATCAAGTACAGTGTATTTAGCAAGATCCATTAGATAGCTTTTCAGCAAATGGAGCCTTATTTTTTTCCTGGGAAAGCTATTTTAAGTCCAGCTTTTCCTGACTGGTACATTCAGAGATGGAAGAAGATTCACCTGCTGATTACCTGCTAAGCAGCTGTTAAAAGCACAAGCACTTTGTGGTGATCACACCCTGAATTACAGTTTCTGTGCATGCTGAACTATTGATTTGTTAGTTTGGCATTTCTCCCAGCCTAAGAGTTTGTAACACATTTCAGGCATCTGGATTAGCATGTATATCAAAACACATGGTTCTCTGCACACCCCACAAATCAGATTTTTTTTTTTTTTTTTACTTCCAACACCATTCCAAAAATCATTCCTTGTAGAAACAAGTTTTAATAGTCTCAGGGCTGAGCTGTAGGATAGGAGGAAAACTTGCCAGTTTATATTGGCAAGAGTGAAGAAATAATACTCAAGATTATAGTCTTTGAAGGCGAAGGTGAACTTGGCTGTGTAAACATTAGTATTTGGACTTAGGACTTTGCTTGGAGCAATGTGCACCTTGAGCAAACCTTAATGACAGAGACCACATGGCTAGATGGCAGTTTGAGTGCTTGGTAAACAAGTTAATTATTTACTTGCACGCAGAATCACTTCATTTTAACCCTTTTAAAATCACAAGGCTGAAGCTTTGTAAAACCCTGGTGTTACAGAAGTTCTTTCTGATTTGTTTGTGGATCTTCTCAGTAACTGAAAGTGTATGTGCGCGTTAAAAGGGATAGTTTCTAAAGATGTGTGAACACAGAGAACGCCAGCTAACAGGTAGCTCTCCATGATTTTCCCAACATGCCGTTTTTCTTGCAAGTAGCATATTGCAGCCAACCCAGGAAAATGGAAATATTTAAACACAGAGATTTAAGTAGTTGAGGTGGAAATAGGTCCCATTGATTTGAGGACGGCTTCCAATGTGTTAGGATTAGGATTCTTACTGCAAAAGTTTTCATTAAACTAAATTTTAAGGGGCCTGTCAGGAATAATTTATCCTTTCCTCCCACCCCACCCCACCCCACCCCAATCCCTCATGCACAGTGATCACCTTCTCTGGCAATTTGGCATAAACTCCGAACAGTAATGGCATGAGCTTTATCACTGAAGTGATCAGACATTAGGTAGTAAGAGAAACACTTCTGCAAAAAAACCTAGAAAAGGGCTTCAAGTCAGTGTAAAATACTTTTCCCCAAGCCAGTACTTTCCAGGTAAGTTAGATTTCAGTCTCAGAGGTCCCAGCCAGGAGGCCAAATCCAAGACATCTAGAGAGGGTCAGGCTGGAAAGGCTGTTGGGTACAGTCAGCGCCAAGCTAGATGGACTCAGGATTAGCTGAGTCAATATAAGGTGGCTTTGCATTTTCCTATGAGCATTTTCTAATATTTCCTAAGGGAACTTACTAATACAGTTTTCTTTGTCAGAGGCACCATCTGCCAGTAGTACAGTATTTCCTAACTCAAGAGTTAGCATCCATTCATGTAACAGAGGGACAGGCTCCAACATCTACTGCTGGTAATCAGATGACTCATCTCCAGGGCTCCCAGCAACCACTTAGGAATCACTTTCTCACATTGAAGCAAATCTCAGCCAAAAGGAAGCATTGTGAACAATAATAGAATCACAAAGATGGTAGTACCCAGAAGGGAAATCCACGATGGGGTGAATCATTTTCCTGTCTTGACAACCTGGATCCAGAAGTGGGGATCTTTCTTTCAGCAATACTGTCAAAGTGCTTTCTTGTATAAAATTGGCGCTGCAACCTGTGGTGATTAATATCAAAGCCTACTTTATTTATTTGCAATTCAGCTGATCCATACTTTCTCCAGCCACTTTCCTTTCTAAAATTGTTTCTGAAATGGCACATGAAACGAAAACTCTTACAGGGATACATGGCTCTTTTGTGAGGGATCTTCCTTGGCAAACAAACCTCAATGCTTTAATTTCAGCTAATAAATTGAGCCAAACCTTGGCTAGTTTATTTGTGTGCGTGAGTTAGCAATCTCTTTAAAATGAGCAGCAGTCCCAAGACTCAAGAAAGCCAGAATGAAAGGGTAGCCTTGCTAGATCAGATGAAAGCCTACCAAGACTAGTTTCCCCCACCCCCTAATTAGAGTCAGTCGTATGCCCCTGGGAAGCTCACCAGCACAGCGGGAAGATGAAATATGGTTCTGATCCCTAATATCAGTCCTTTCTACCACTGAGCTAAAGTGCTATTCACTTACCCTTAGGCTGGCACAAACCTATGCTGCCATACAGTTTGTTGTCCTCACTGCCAATTCCTATTCTTTGTCCTGTCTTCTCTGAGTCACTGCCAAATGGTATTGTCTGGGTTGTGAGTGTGCTTGTCATGATGAGTAAGCTAGTCATGGTGAGCAAGGTACCCTGTAACTTCGTGGCTGGCTCCTTTTAGTGCATCACCAGCAAGCAGGGAGAACATCTGCCAGTCAAGGCACTGCAGGGAATGGGGTGGATCTGACTTCAGGACTTTTCGAGGCTGGCTTGTGTGCCCTTTCTGCCACACCTCATCTGGGTATCTCCCAAGCTAAAATAACACAAAATAAAGAAGCATATAAGGCCGAAATAGCCCAGAAAAGAAGGAAACAGACCCTGCTAGGATTGTTCAACTAATCCTTTAAAGCAGTGTTTTCTCAACTTTGGCAACTTTAAGATGTGTGGACTTCAACTCCACATTCTCCAGCTGGTTGGGGAATTCTGGGAGAAGTCCACACATCTTAAAGTTACCAAGGTTGAGAAATACTGCTCTAGAGTGGGGTAACTGAAACTGACTAGTTGCAGGGCAATTAGGTCTCATATAGAGGAGAGGAAATGATTGAAATGGGCCAGTAAAGGAAAATAGACAAATAAGCAGCAAAAGCCTTGTGGAATACCTCTCATTTCTGAAATCTGCAATGAGGAAATGCAGGGCTCCTGAATCATTAGGATAAAGCTGCATTCCTGAGTACTGTTAAAGCCGAATAGCACAAACATGACCCCTCTTTTGCATGAAATAAAGTATCCATCAGAATGCTATATACAGTCCACTTCCCTTAAGCTCTCAGACCAGAGAGATATAGATATTACATTATGTCAGGTCCCAGTGTACAAGGTTGTTTCATTTACATCTGGAATGAAGTAAGAGCAAGACCTTGCCATCAATGGCATGACTGGGCCATGGTAAAATGTGAGTTACAGGGCCTAACTATGACAGCTAAAAACTGCTGATCTATATATACCTGTCCATTTGTTTGGTGGTGGTGGTGGTGGTATTATTATTATTATTATTATTATTATTATTAAAAGCCATCTTACTTTTATAATTGTACATGGAAATATGTTGGCTTCCTTGGATGATACCTGAACACAGAAAAAAAATGTCTTTTTTGTGTCATATAATTTTACAATATTTTCCTCCTCCCATAGCAGCCTAAAGCTATGAACATTTACAGAAAAATGTGTCCTACAGAATGTAATTGATTTCCTTCTAAGTAAATTTGTGAATGCTGCATGCCATGATTACTGTAGCAAGGGTGCTCAATCTATAGACACTTACATATAGTGAACTATGTCATCCAACATTCTTCGCCCTTGGCCAGGATCTGTAGTTCGGCAAATCTGGAGGATCACAAATTGCCCACTCCTTCATATGGGTTCAATCTAATCCTATTTGTGTATTTTTTAGAATTAATTGCCAAGGGCTTTGGTGCTTATTTGCAAATAACTATGCATCATATCCAAGTCTTAACTGGTTTGTGCCTTGTCTTTTCCATCTCTGTGTTGTTCCTTTCATAAAGTAATAAAGAGAATATTGGCAACATTTAACAGAAAATAGAAGTACTGAAGTTCACAGGTTTTTCAGTATCTCATGAAACAAACTCTTTGTAGGTTTTTTCTTTGTTCTACACATCTAATATTTTATTACACATAAGATGAAATATATAATTTTTTAAACTTGCATGTAAATGTAAGATATACATTTTTAACTGTTTTTTTTTCTAGTAAAACAATCCCACAGTAGAAATAAACACCGTATATCTGTGTATTACTGTGTATATGCACAGTATATCTATCTATCTATCTATCTATCTATCTATCTATCTATCTATCTATCTATCTATCTCAATTCAAAGCAGTGACCATACCTAATACCCAACTCCTATTTTCCCCACAACAACCACCCTGTGAGGTGGGTACTTTAGCAAGCCCTAGAGAATATGGAAATACTATGGTTCTCTAAAGGCTTTATTTGCCCATAGGCAAATTTTGACACCGTTGATTTTGTTTATCTGTCCCCATTCCCCAGGAGCAAAAACCAGCAGCATAGCTACCATTTCCCCTTCCATTTTTTGCCCATAACAGTAAGTATGTGGATACATTGGGCTAAGAGATAGCAATTAGCATATCTGTAAGAGAGTTGTGTTATGGAAGTCATCTGCAGAGGTTTTGAAAGTTGGTCTCTCTCTCTGTCACGGTCCCCTTTCTCTGAAACAACATTGTCCCTGATATGAGACAGGTTCCAAGTCTTCTGGCTTTCCACAAAGCTATTAAGACCTGTCTGTTTCAGCAGGTCTTTGGGGCCTGAGGGACTGGCTTTATTCATTTGTTTCCTTGTTTCCTCCCAGTGAATGTTTTACATATGTGAGATTCCTCACATACTGGGAAATTTACATTGGCAGTTTTAGCCTTCATGATGGCAGTCTGTAAACTGCTGTAAGTTATGATTGCATGACATATAAGCCAAATAGTACCTAGGTAAATAATTAAATAAAGGCACCCCTTGAACTTTCATGCCTTCGCAGATTATGTTCAACATCTTAATCACACTAAGGTAAGGTATGATTGACTGTTTTATATGTCAGTGTTGTGTGTGTACCTTGGTAAATGAGTTAGGTCTGTGAACTTTGAGTTCTGCAAAGCATAGTCTTAAAGTAGGGGCTTCTTTGAGTAAAGCTCAGCTCCTGCTGATATTCTGAACATGTCCATACAGTTTTCTTGACAACAGAAATGGTTTGATATTATCTTCTTCCAGGATGTTTTTTGATGTGCTTTCAAAGGAAGGATATATGCATCAGCTGTATTTTCACCCTGCCACCCAGGCTGGATTATTTAGGTTGTTGAATTATTATTCTCCAGAATTCATTAATACTGCTAATCCTATTACCTTTCAACCAGTAAAATTCTATTATCAGCATGATTGGACTGGAAAACCTTCACCTTCCTTTTATGTTTCCATTCTCTTTGAGCACTTCTACTTACAAAAGGAACATGAGATCATTTTAGAATATGGCACCCACTCCCTTAAGGGCACTGGAGAGTTCCCAGCACTTTCACCAATCCTTGCTGAGAATAAAGATCAGCACTGCAAAACAATTCCATCAGTGCCATTCTGTTACTTTTCAAGCAAAAGTAGACTGCAACATATACTGTAGGTCATATTACATGAATGGGCCTAATATCAAGCAAAACAAAAATCTGAAGTCTGAAAACTATCATTGTGTGTATGTGTGGAGACAGGTGGTAACACAATCCTAGGAACTTGGGAATAATGGCCATATTTAAGAAGCATCAATTTGTGTCCTTTTAATTGTCCTTTTAATTGTAACACAAGCATCATGAGATAAATAGAATTTTTAATATGTTGATGGAAAACTGGGAAATCTGTTTACCAATGCATATAGATCTATAGTTAGAAAAAAAAAAATCCTCAACCTAAACTTACTATGTGAGTATAAATTCTGTGCAACTGAACAGGACTTATTTCTGAATGGCACCATTTAGGCCTGAAATGACACATATAAGGCTACAACTCGCAGATAGCTATTTCTAATTCGAATGCAAGTAACTGTTACACTTACTTAAAAGTAGTTTCAGCTGAATCCATTTATATGCAAGGGATTCAGGACTGGATTTTAGTTTGAAAGCATTAGAAAAGTAATAGCCTTTATAAAAGCGAGACACAACATTTCGGGTAGTTGTTTAAAAATAATATGTTCCCCCAATCCACTTCACTTATGTAACTACTGTGATATCAATTTTTCTAAACTAAATTGAGGATTTTAAAAAATACATCAGTTATCCATATACTGTAGCTGAATTCCATAAAGCAATTTCATTCAAGTATCAGTTAATTTAGATTTAACTTTTTAGTTAGGAATTTCTTCAAAATAAGAAACATATATTTAACAGTATAGACCTATGCAGCTTTACTCAGAAGATTGTTCTACTGACCTTTAGTCTATAAGTGTTCATAGGATAGAAGACTGAGAGTAAATTATCATACAATCAAAAACCTTATAAGGATTTATGATAATTTCCTCTTAGCCAAAGCCATTGAATGAGTTAATCTAAGCATCCCAGCTCCAAAGTCTAGAATGATGCAATGGGTAAATATATATTCCATTCATCTGTTAGTACAGCCTGACCTTCATCTATGATAGAGGAAAGGCGTTTTTTCTCATTCTGTATTACTTGAACAAAGGCAAGCAAATGAGGGTGACTCAGAATTTTGTGTGGCCTAGATGTAATTGAACATTTTCTGAATAATTTGTCTACACTAAAGAATCAGAGGAAGAGGAACTTATTATTTGTTGTAACCATGTAAAACTATTTTATAAATTTTGTATATAACCTCATCCATCAACAATACAAAAGTTTCAATACATTTCTTTGATTTGCTTTAGTTTTTAACAGTTGATCTGCAGTTTTGACAACAGATTTACCTTTAAAAAAAGATATACCTGGGAGGCGAAAAGAGATTAAAATAAAAATACAAATCATAATTATGTTTATATAAAATGAAAGAGTCCCTTTTTGTCATTTGCATGTGTTTAAAAAATCCAACCCCTCATTGCTTTCATGCACATTAGAATTATTAATTTAACATCTATGTTCTCTTTTCAAAGTCTAGGATTATGATCCTTAAGCAAAAGCAGAGACTGTCCTTTACTGACTACTTTTTATGGTGACATTGGTTGTCCACATAAACAATCCACTGAAATTAATTTGTCTTACTTCCATACAGACGGAAGTGATTGTGGAGTTTCTGTACGTTTGTAAAAATGTCAAAAATGTTTGAAAAATTAGTGTAATATACTTAAATGCCACTTTCTGCTTACATACATTACTTTTACAATTGAACTCCTCTCCCATCTCCCAAGTATAAATTATGTGTACAAATAGGGGTTCCATAAACTGGAAGCTCTCAGTAAAATTGAAGGACCAAATTTCAATGGCATTGATTGTATAGTATAGTCCTTTACAGCTCAGTTCAGCATTCAACTAGTCTTAACTTGATTTTAAAAAAAATAAAGGATTGTGGCCTATCTACTGAACTCATTGGCTAAATATAGAAATATACATATTAACTGCAATCCTTTTACTACTTTAATAGTACAATTTTCAGTACTAACCAAATTACAACACCACAAAGCTCTTCAAATCTTTGCATTGATCTTGTAAATTCCCATGTAAATCATTGCATTTTATCTTGGAAACTGCAGTGCTTGTAAAATTTATATAAATTTATCATAATCTCTGATTCTTTTCCAGCACTGAGCCTGATCAGGACTTACTGTGTATACATTGTTAGAATTTCAACTACAGAAACTTCTCTGTATTTTGACTGAGGACATCCAAGCTGCATTGGTGCATAATGTTTTCTAGTGTTTTTCCCTGCATTGCAGTGGAGAGACGCAACTTTAAAAAGCATTTATTTCAGTCCTAAACATATTTACTTAGATTATGTTCAAGGGATATTTCTTCCATTTAAATGGTAAGGACAGCATGTTTATGATTCGTATTAGTGTTCTATCTTCAACTAAAGAAGAGCTTCTACAAAACTGCAACACCAGATCAGTCCTCAATGGCTCTCTGTCATGTCAGCAGAACACTGTATGTATCTATTCTCCCTGGTAGTAAAGTAAGAGGTTCTGGCTCAAGTACAGAAGAAGTTTCCCAGGATCCTGTTGCCATAAAAAGCCATTGGAAGAACTCCACAAATAAACCTTTGCCTAGATATGATTTCATATATTATTTAGCTTGAATAGACCATAACTGTTATCCAGAACTTCTATGTTTCCTTTTTCCTTCTCACTTGCCTGGATTCTGTGTACCTTAATAGATAAGGGAATAGTTCTCCTTATTAAGAAAAAATAATACTCTCTGATGACACTTTGTTCTATTGTTCCCTCTCTTTCTAACAAAAGAAAATAATTTTAAAAAAAGTTGCTTTGGCTACTAGGTATGTCAGTAGCTGCAGGATTTTTTTTTAAATAAAAAGGATTACAAAAGAGGACTACACTCACAGAAAGTGTTTAAATGCCTGATTTCACTTTATTTAATGCAAAAGATAAAAAAATAGGAAAAAATAGTAATGTGTTAGTTCAGCAACTATAAACAATGAAAGCATAGTGCAGGTGGTATTTTAATAATGATAACTTAAAAGTATAACGAAGGTGAGATTGTGACAATCACACTCTCCATTAAACAACATTTTGCTTTATTGCTATACAAATTATCACCATTAAAAACTGGGAAAAATGTAAGGGTGCAACATCTGACTCCATTGAAATAACCAATTAAGTTCCTATTAGCTGCAATGGAATCAAGTTTTGTTTTGTTATGTTTATTGGATAGTAACTGTAGTATTGTTGCAGCTAAAGCACTTGAAAAAACTTTGTAGCCAGGGAAGCATATTGTGTGCATCAATGTATATGTGTAGATATACCATTATCTACTGATGTCATAAACTGATTTTAAAAAAACCAACAAAATTACATTAGTCCAATTGAAATCACAGAAATGCATTTAAAAAGTCGTATCATAATTTGTCATTTCTGTAGTATAAATTTATAAAGTGTATTAGAACTGGTCACCTTAACAGAGGTTTAGAAGAAACTGGCTTGAACAGATAAAGTGTTGAAACCTGTTCCAGCTGTGATCATGTGTTATGGCAAGCTTTAAACTTCCCACTCATTGAACTACTTTAAAGAACATACAGTGATATTACTGAGCTACAAGATGAAGACTGTAACTAAGGATCTGAATCAAATGCCTCTCAGTACTCTGTCATGCTTGAATAGCATGATCAAGAAAGAAGTTACTTGTCATCCCCCCTCAGATTAAGAAGCTGAAATCTGAACTACATGCCAAGACATCACAATGAACTTTCCAGGAAAATTTTAGTAGGGTATCTTTTAAACGCAGAATGCAAATTGTTCATACAAATTGGATTAATACATGAGGTATTATGTCAAAAAGATTCTTAAGAACTTATCCTCTATCAATTCAAAATCCAATTTTTAATAAAGTGCCTAAATTCTTCTTTCCACAAATTATAGTGGCTCCAAAGAATCCTTTACAGTTGTATATATGTGCGTTTTCCCATCTCAAACTTTCTAAACATGTGTTTACATAAGACACCAGTCTGATCTATATGTACTTCTATAATTTCAACAAATATTGAATTGGTTTATCATGCAAATCTTGTTATTTAATATTACACTGACCTGTAATACGGAACACAATGCTAGTGGGTGTGCTTATTAAAATGTTTCAAAAAGAAATAGAACTGCACATGTGCAGGTTAGGTTTCCAAATGCGATGACCACTAAAAAAAAACTCTTATCAAAATCTATTCTGCATTAAATAGAAGACTGAAGATGAACACCTAAGAACAGTCTGACCCAACAGTATAAAATATGATTAAATGTAGCTAAAGGGAGTATATTGTTACGTGCTAAGAACATGAGGGGCATATTGCTGTTTGAGATAATCTTTTATGACCATATGCTAAGTGGTCACCAATAATTAATGCAAGTGGTTGTACAGCAATGTTGCTAACACAACTGTGAACAGCACAGCAACACTACAGCAAGTCTTGACTATTTCTAGCAACTGATGTTTATTCATTTAAAATGTCTGTCTTCTGACACAAAAAGAAGCATGGTCAAAATACTAGTTACGCAAAAGAATGATGGAAGGTAATCCAGAAGGCATGGGATACCTACATAAAAACTCAAGGAGATTTAAATCCTAGGATGTTTCCTTTAACTGTGATTTGGTTGTTTTGCCTCCAACACGTGGATTAGGAAATTTCAGACAGAAATCCCCATTAATCTCTCTGCTGACAATGCAGACGAGCCAGGCAAAACCTCCTCTGTTGCTGCCATTACCACTCTGCTTTTGCTCTACTCAATTAGGTGACATCAGCAACAACAACAGTACTAAACATTAAGCGTTAAGAAGGAAGTCCTTCTGCACTATTGTAAAAATCCCTAAAACCTACCTCAGTGTTTCCCATACACGTATGAAGGGGATAGCAATATTCAGTCGTGCTGAAAAGTTGTGAATTGTTAAAAAGATGGCAGTGCTACTCTGTCTGCACCAATGCACAGCTAGTCAATAATTAAACTTATCACAAAAATTTTGCAGGAACCTTAAGCAATTAATGACAAAACAGTTTTGCAATCTTACTACCAACCTAGAACTGTGGTCATTTTGCTTTTAACAAAAAACAAGCTCCCCAATCTCTAACACTATAGCACCTCATTTTTAGCTGAATAGTCTGCAAACAACTTCCTTCTACAAGCAAAAATGCTCTAAGAATCTGGCCATTTTTTGCAGCAGCAACGAAGGAATAATGTTTCCACACAAATCCCTAATGCTTCACTTGTCTTTGGACAGGACTGAATAGCAACCTCGCTTGAATCCTATGAACTCTTTAATGCCGTATTATCTCTAAAACCTAAAATGCCTCCAGCATGAGTAAGGGCAAAAAAAAAAAAAAGGAACCACAGACAATAAGGCAATCTTTACAATGTCGGAAGATGTATTTGGCATTTAAAAAAAAGGGGAAAAAACCAAGTGCATACAATTACAGCTAGAAGCATTTCTGGTTTGCCAAGTGCTCTCTAAAAAAAGCAGCACAAGTCACAGCCTACACTGAACAGTAACTGTCACCAAGGAAGCACAACAAATAGTTGCTATAACAACAACAAAAAAGAGCTTTTATAAGTACATACCTTTTGTCTTCAAAAAATATAGAAACACAATGTATTCAAAAAAAGAAATCAAAATTATACAGCCATGTTTTATGAAGTCTACATTTCCCTTGTCTTGGATAT